GGGCTGCAGAGCTCATCATTATTATAATGCATGGTGGTTTCTGTTGAAAAGTAAACTTGATTTTGGAGTAAGTAATATGAGTTTGAGGATTTTACTAATAGGCCCAATTCAATTAAAAGGCCCAACAAGCCAAGTATTTTCTAGAAATATCTAAGCAAAAAATGTGATAATAAATATGATAATGTCTCAAGTAGATTATGTGGTTTTAGAAACTCTATTTAGAATATTCTAGGAAAATATATCTAAAAGTCTCATGTAATGTGGTCTAAGAGTCTCTAAATAAATGTATGGTCTAAAAATTTCATGTAAATCCTATATAAAGAGGTGGAGTCCTTCCATTTTGTAGCAAGTCAAGTGCATAAGGTATGAAGTTAAGAAATAGAAGTTTTCTTTTTGTTCACTTACTTTTTCCTATTAGTGTTGTCCTCCGTAAAAGCCTTAACCAATTCAAATGAGTAAACATCTCTTTCCTCTAATAGTTTCCTGTGGAAAAATTCTAAGAAGCTGCATATTGTGGTGAAAGCAGAAATAAATGCCCAAATGAAAGAATTTCTTTGTCAACAAAAGGAATAGTCCATATGCAGAATTTTGATATGTTAAAAATGGTTTTATATTACAATTAATCAGCTCTAATTTATCTTAAATTTAACAAGAACGCTCGATGATCTTTCTGGTTTCTACTTACAGAATTTTGATTTATGTTCTGTTGCTTCCTAGCAAATAGCATTTTAATTTCATTTTATAACCAACTATTTCTATTGAACATTTTAAAAAAAGAAATAGTTTCCCTGAAAGAAACACTTCAGATTATTATGGTAAATTTCTAACACAGTAAAATCTATATTAAAAAATTGAAATTTTAAACAGTCCTTTAACGTCACTTAGTAGGCAATTTCTAAACACGTGCTATGCAAACAATATCGAAACTTCATCATGCCGTTTAACCACAAAATTGAATCATCATCAAAATATGATAAAGCTGCTCATTCAATCAAACTTAGGATTTATCAAGCATTATATTCTAAAATCAAAACATCATAGAGAGTGACCACATAAAGTATAGCAAATTTTTATTCACAAACAGGAAATCTAAAAAAGAAAGCTAGAATTAGAACCCGAAAAGGGGAAATTGAAAAGAACCAAGAACACTATAAAACATGAAAAAGAACCAAGAACACTATATCTCTGAACCAAGAATATGAATCTTGGAACCAAGAAAACAGCTGTGAAAGCGTGAAATATAGAAAAGGAGCGACAAGATGAGAAGATCTTCAAACCCAGAATTGAACAGTAGAAGATATTTGATCCAAGAATTCATCAACCGTAGAAGACGAAACCCATAATGCATGGTCCACATTCGAATCTCCAGAGTTCCCAAACCCATTTTAGTGGATGAATGTCATTACAATGTTCCAAACCAAAGTCACAATTGGTAAAATGAAAATCCAAATGCAAATCAACTATATCAGATTCTTCTTATTGTTGCCTCATTACTGCCGCCATTGCAATCACGCCGGCCCCTTCTAGTTCTGAGAATCCATTCTTTATACCGATAAATTTTGAAGACAAAAAAGTTTACGTAGAGAGAAAATGTGGCAGAAGTAGAATATGTGATGAGGGAATGAGAGATGGTAACAATTATGAGGTGTCAAAAGTTGGTAAAAAAAGGGTGGCAAAAGTAGAATATTTTTATGATAGCGGCCTAGCGAGTATAGGGTTGATCTTTGGTTACGTATGTATATTGGTACATCATGTAATTATTTTCACTGGTTTTCTTTATTATTTGAACTAAACTCTTGCACAAATTATATTTCACATGATATTGAACATATGTTTGACGTGATCTGATTCTATTTCTAGTTCTAATTCATTTGAAAAATATGCAATTAATCATAGGATTACTGCACTTGTCATAAATATTATTC